CCACCCCTCCCCAGGCACCTCTAGCTCCTGGTTTGGGAGCCAGCACCATGACTACGTGGCGCTCAGGAAGGACTGTGGTCACCTGGGAAGCAGTGAGCTGGCAGCAGTGGAGAACAGCATGTCCCTCGCCCCACGGCCCTTCCCCCCAAGAGACCAGCTGAGCCTAAAACTGCACCAAAGGCATAGCCTAGCTTTATTCAGTGGCCCGCGCCGCAGAGTCAGTATAAAAACACAAAAAGTCCCGTCCGTTTAATAACAATAAAAAACCCCAAAAATGGAAAACGCGGGGGCAAGGGAAGAGGCCCCTGGGCCAGGGGTGCGGGGAGCCCTGCTCACGGCACCAGGCCCAGCCGCAGGGCCCCCCGGGTATTGCTGTTGCTACGAGGTCGGGGGGCAGCGATTGTCCTGTGGGAGCCACCGTTCACTTGGATCCGGGACCCTCACTTCTTCTGGGGGGTGCTCAGCTTCTGCATGCCCCGGATCTTGTCCAGCAGGCCAGAGATGAAGGCCTGGGCGGGAGGGAAAGTGTTAGGGGGCCCAGACCCCCAAGACAGCAGAGCCCCGGACCCCACCCTCCGGGGAAGCCACTCACCTCAGTGGGTTTGTAACAGTCAACCAGCAGCTCCTAAGGGGGAGGGAGAGAGAAGCGAGCATTGGAATGCAGACCTAAGGGTACCTCCTGCACACCCATGAGGCAGATGCCACTGTGTGGGCCTCACAGCCAGAGAAACACCCCACCCCGTTTTATAGGGGCAATTTGGGCCAAACCACAGGGGGAGGAGCAGCTTCCCCAAAGGGCAGTGCAGCCTGTGGCAGCCTCCCCACCAGCCCCCCTACCTTGACCCTGGCTGCGCGGGTGTCGTCACTCTCCATATCTAGCAGCTCATCGACGTCAATCTCCAGCTCGGGGATCTCCTCTTCCTGGGGGTGGGGGTGGCAGGAGTAAAGGGATTCAGTTGACAGGAGGTGTGAGGGGCCTGGGCCAGACCCCTGCCTGCTAGGGGCCCAGCTCTGCCCTCTTTGCCCAGCAGACAGCGGCAGCTGCTCCAAGGAGGAAAACACAGACTAGTGCCAAGGCAAGCTGCCCGATGAGAAGGGGGTGGGGGGGCACTTCCTGTCCCAGCCAGGCGGCACCCTGAGTGCCAGACAGCCAGGGCTGGGGGCTCTGGACTGGAGACCAAGGCAGATATGTGTGGCCAACTTCTGGCTTCCCCCATCTCACCAGAGCACAGGTCGAACCAGCTGTCCCCGTTCATCATAGCCCCCTCCCCTCACCCAAACACCTGTCACAGCTCCGCGGGAAGGAGGAGGAATTGAGGGGGGTTGGGGGGCTTCAGAAGGAAGGACCCAGGCCTGGGCAAACGGGAAACAAAGAGCCCGTGTTGGGCTGAGGGAGGGGGCGCCCACCACCCCTCCCCCCCGCAGGAAGCAGCTACCCAGCGCCGGACCAGCTGCATTCCAGGGCAGGCCCACTCCTCCACCCTGCCCCCCGGGGCCTGAGTCACCCTTGAGCAACTGGGGAGTCACAGGGCGGAGAAGCAGACCCAGAAATGGGGCTTGCCTGTCCCATGACAAGATGGAGCTCCAGGGGAGCACGTTGGAACCCGCCCGGGGTGGGGGGCTCGCCTTGAGCCAGGCAGGTAGTCCTTGCACGGGCTCGCCCCCTGTCCAAGCCCAGGCTATCTCGCGGGACTTCTGGGGGGCCCCACGCCACCCGGCGGAGTCGGACGGGGAGGAGGGGAGCGACTTAAGGTCAGACAAGAAAAGAACGGACCTCGGGGGGCGGGGAGTTGGGAGCGCCCAGCGCGCGGGAAGCCGAGCGCCCATTGACCTCGGGTGCCAAGCGGTCTCCAGGTGGGGGGTTCCCAGCAGCCCGACCTGAGGCCGGCCGGCTTCAGGGGGTCAGCGCGGGGCGGGGGTCACACCTGACAGTCGTAGAGGCGCGTGAGCTGCTCCAGGATCCACTCCTCCAGGTTGAGTCGCTTCCGCAGCTCCTTGCGGTCGTACTTGAC